TTCTATAATGTTCACTATTTGTACTTGTGAACAGTACACATCTTTTCATTTTCATAGAACCACATACCTGTAGCCCTTCCATAATTTTTACCTTTTTTATATATGTCAATCTTCGTCTTTTATAAATCTCAAATGTTGAAAACCCTCAATTCTGAATTTATACAATATTTATAGTGCATATTTTCAGTCTTTTTATAATATATACCAGTTACATTTCCTTAAAGCATTTCCCCCTAACAGCTCTTTGCAAACATTAACTGTAACCTCACAACACTCCTGTGAGGTAGGTAAATTAATATTATTCCTAATTTACAAATATGGAAACAAAACTTGGGCTTTGTTAAACTTCTCCAACAGTGGTCGTGTCTACATTAGAGAAACCTGGAATGAAATCTCTTTAGTTTCCTTTCCATATCTTGAGGGAGGGGGGGAAATAGCTCTCTCCTCCCATCCCCCCACCCTCGGGATTCCACCACCATTGGAATTTGTTTTGCTTTGAGGTAAGCTAACCACCTTGTGGTCCCCCACTATACCATCTCCACCAGTACAGTGCTAGTGTGGATGGGAAGCACTGGTATAATAGTCCAGTGGTGTGAACAGTCTTACTGCTACCAACACACAGTGCATCAGTCACTGCTTTAAGTGTTCTGTCTCATCTGTATTCTGCACTCTACTGCACAGGGGCAAGTTTGTGCAAAAATACAGAACACACCAGAGCTCATTTGTGTGCTACTTTTGCCAGCATCAGTTTCTTCCATATTTACTATCCAATGATCCACTCCTTTATTATTATTATTTATTTGTATTATTAACTTGTTTGGTGGTAGCACCTAGATGCCCCACTGCTAGGTGGGTATTATACACACACACATAAGGAAAAAATGGTTTCTGCCCTAAAGATCTTAGAATCTAATTAACAGCAATCCTGTTTCAGAGAAAGCTTTCCTATGAGCATGTTGCCAGCTAGATTATAAACTCTTTTGTCCAGGGGCCATCTTTTTGTTATTTGTATACAATGCCTAGCAAAATGGGCCTTGGGGCCTCTTTGAGCTACCTCAGTTTTAAAAAGAAAAGGATAAGTCAGTGGCAGACATGCAGACACTGGGGACCACAGAGAAAGATAAGGAGATTTTGTTGCAGCTGAACTCTTTTGGGAACACGATCATCTACGACCAGCTGTTGAAGCACCTTGCTGAGTATAGCATCACTCTGGCAAGCAGTGGCAGTGCGAGACTGACTTTAAGGTCCAATTCAATTAATTTTGGGACAATAATAAGCATGCCTGGGCCAGGGATACAAAGAGCACTATGGAACAGGACTATGATTGAATATTCTAGTTACTCTGCTTTGAAGATGAAAAAAACAGGACTGTTAGAAAGGCAGAGCAGATTTAAGCAGGACAACAAAGAACTTATGATGAACTATATCTGCCATGACAGGGAAACAAGGTGTGAGCACCAGCCATTCCAAAGAGAAATATTTAATAAGTACCAAAAGGCTTCTAAAGAGGAAGACATTGTGTCTGTTCCAGTAACTGATCCCTAGACCTGTGCTTGTACCAATTGCTCAGTATAATACAATGCTCCATATCGGACTGCTCCTGTGCTCCAATCCCCCTAAATCCATTCTGTGGTTCTCCACCCCTGCACACGAGCAGAGCAAAGAAAATAGAAACCCACAAGATGTATATTTCATGTCCTTGAAATGTACATATTCTGTTGCCCTTCTGGCTAAAGTTACCCTGGTTCGATATTGCAGCTGGTCTGCATGTTTGTGTTTCTAATACAGACATTTTTCAGAATAGATTTTTGTGTGATCCTATACCAATCATTTTATATTCAATATCAATATTGCAATTCACTTCTCCAACTTTTTCACTTCTAAAAAAGATTTCTAACCTATGAACAAAAGGAGACGAGGCAAACATACAGCAAAAGAGTGAACCAACCACACATAGAGCACAACAAAGGTAATATTTATATTCACAGTTCTCAACTCCATAAACTCCTTCACTATACAGATTAAATCATTGGGATGATTAAAACAAACTCATGCCTTCTTCACAATGGTAAACTCCCCATCAGCCAAACAAGCTATGAATTATAGTAGCAACAAATGCTAACATACTTCTGCTAACCTCAGTAGTGTTGCCCCTTTTTGACCCGTGCAGTATTCAAATTTTGGGGCCCTGTGGGTGCTCCAGATGCAAATAGAAATTGGTGATAGGTATTTTTATAATGCAGGGTTTTTTTATTTACAAAGAATGTACAAAGTCCTGTGTCTCCGCATGCAGAAGGAATCTAATAGCAGGAAGCAGCTTCTTTTGCTCAAGAGCAGTCTTTTCAGCCTGCACCCCAGACACAAAAACCGCTTCCAAAGTCAGCCATCGTGTTTTCAGCTGCTCCTTCAGGCTGTCTTTTAGTTTTCTGGGTGTTCTCTCCCCACTTCTGCCACCCACCCGCACACATCTGATCATAATACCCAGCCAAACCTAATGCTAGTTTCTGGGCAGACTCTGTTAGGCTTTGTTTTAGATGTGGGCCCTTATCTGCCTTCAATGGGAAATTCATTCACACATCGGTTTGAAGGAGGTTTAAAGGCAACCTGTAAGGTTTCACCCTGCTCATAACAGTAGTCTCCATAGTCGGTCCCCATTCCCCACCAGCAAAGTGAAAGTATGCAGAGCATCTTCCCTAGCAAATAGAACCATTGGTAGTTAAACTAGTGAGATACACCATTGTAAGTACCTACAGTGCTGTGTGACCAAACTAGGTGTGGTGTTTTCAGGTGCACTTTGCCCCTTAGCCATACTGCAACTATTCTGTACCATTGAAGTTGCGCTACCCTCTGGGTACTTATCCCACAACTCCCTGAAGTAGTGGAGGATTTTGAAAAGCCTCCTAAAAGCCCAAAGTGATTGTGGGAAATGAGGTCAAACTTCCATAATCTCCTGCAAAATTCTAAGAAACCCACACTATTTTCAGAGAAAAGAAACCAGTGAAAAGCATTATCAGAGACCCAACGCTGATCTAGATGACCTCAGAGCACTGATAACTCTTGCCAAAATTTGTTTCTCTGGCTGACAAAGAAAATTACATTTTGGTTGATCCATTTCTGTTGAACTAGAAAGCTCTAGTGAGTGAAATGCTGAGTAGGACTTCCTGACAAAGAAAAGCAGAATACACCAGCCTTGCTGTTAAATTCTGAGGCTCTGCTACTTTGCCTTGCCTACTAGTAGATACAGATGATGCTAAGGGGAAGTTCAAACATCCCTCACTTGCTTGTTCATGCTGCGGTCTGTCTCCGAAGCGTATTTTTTCCAATTACAATGTTACTCTGTTTTTTATTTTTGTGGCCATTTAATCTGTTAGGTTTGTTGCTGTTTTTGTTTTGGGGGGTGGGGTTGTTTTTTGTTTTCCTTCCCAGGCATTTTTAATAATTCTCTTTCCTAGGGTTTTGTGCTTTTAAGGTGGCCTTTTCACTTTTTTCCTTTACTCTAATGCCTTCTAAAAGGAGGAAGAAGGCTAAATCAAAATATACAGCTGATCCTTTTAGATCTACAGAATCTTCAGCAATGTCCAAGGAAAATTTTAAGTGATATCAAGACTCCCTATCATCACAGTCCCCTCCTGTGAACTTTTTTTTTAAATCAGTAACTCCTAGGAAAGCAGCACAAAAAGAGACCGTGTTCCTAGATTAATAGTGAAGGCAGTTCTAAGGTTTCCTATTCTTTCTGCAATCTAGTCATTATAGACTAGATTTGATACTTGTGAATTGTATTAGTTATCTGCTTAAAGTAAAGTAATTTTGATCAATGGTCTGACTTCGTTGAACAGTCATAGACAAACTTTGATGAAAAGATTCTCAAAAACAAAGTATGAAATCTTTAACAAGAGTGTTAAAGATAATCTATTAATACAGAGGAAAGATGAGATCCACAACAATTTCATGGAGTTTGGTACTGTATGGATTCATGGAATTCAGGGTAATCTTAATAGTGTTCAGCTGCCTGAAAACAAATTCTGCTTTATTGTTTGTTATCTTGTTAAGTCAGGTTTATCTATCCAGACCTTTCCCTTAAAGACCTTTCTTCTCTTGAGGCTCCTGTTGTTGCGGTTGCTGGTTGTACAGTGTCCAAATGTGTTTTAGGCACTTAACAAAAAAACTCAAAAAACCCAATCCCCTCATCCCTAGAGACCTGGTCCCTGCCAAAGGGTGAAATGCTGGCCTCACTGAAGTGAATGGGATGGGGGTGGGGTGTTGCTATTGAATTCTATGGGGCCAGGATTTCACCCAAAGAGGATGCAACCTGGTACTGTGGTTCTATGCTTTCTGCTTGAATAGTTATTATGACAATAGATTCAGTGAGCGATCATGAATACATTATGGTTCAAGTATGGAAATGGAAAGGTTATATTAGTTTATTAAAAAATAAAAATATATGTTCTTTGTTATGAGTTCATCAGTTGGGCATGAAGAAAATAATTGGTCTAGGGAGAGCATTTTAATCTTTGTGTTCTGTGCTTCAGTCCTTTTCCCAACAAAACTTAAATCAGTTGCAGAGTCCTGTGGCACCTTGTGGACTAACAGACGTATTGGAGCATGAGCTTTCGTGAATATGCATTCAAAGAAGTGGGTATTCACCCACGAAAGCTCATGCTCCAATACGTCTGTTAGTCTATAAGGTGCCATAGGACTCTTTGCTGCTTTTACAGATCCAGACTAACACGGCTACCCCTCTGATACTTAAATTAGTTGATGATTTTAAAAATTGTATTTCTTTTACAGTCAAGTTAAAGAATTTTTATAATCTTGGTTGCACTAAAAAAATATAAAGATTGCTACAAATTAGAAGTAGTTGTAGGGTACTTCTTTGTTTCCAGAGTATGATTGCCTGTGTTGTGTTTGTATGGTTTTAGTATTTTAGGTTTATTTTTATAACCTGCATTACCTAATGCCAGAACTGAGGAAAGTAATCATGCTATCTTTTGTTTCTGTAGAAATACTGCAGCACAATGCAACTTGATTCTGGAATAGATTATAGGAAACGGGTTCTTCCTGCAGCAGAGAAACTTTACTACCTGTAAGTTGATCTATTGTGGGATTTTTGCCCCTCTCCCGTTTTTTTTTTCTTAATAGCCAATAACTTCTCACTCAGTAGGAGAGGGAAAATGTATAATACAATTAGCAGAGTGTGACTTTTTTTTCTTTCTTTGCCTTCTGATCCATTTTGTACTGCGGACTGCCTTCCATTATGCCATAATGTTAACTTCATTAAACTACATTTTCAATATCCTCACTAGCTTCATTTACAATGTGCAACTGAATCAAAACTAATTAGATTTTTGGGGAGGTGTGGTGTTTGGAGAACTGATGTGACAGATGGTTAGAAAGTAATGAATATCCTCTTGTAGGAGAGTGTACAATTCACTTATAATAGAAGAACATCCGTATTGTATTAAAGTAATTAAGTATTTATAGAAATCTTCTGACAAGGATTCATTTAATGTTGGGTGTTCCTATTTGTGGGTATAAAAAAAAAGTCTTATTTTGACAGATGATCTGTTTGTATTTACCATGATGAATTTACTTTAGCATTTACTCTGTATTTGTACATGATAAAAATATTTAAATGATACACAATACAGCCATAAGTACAAGTGGATGCATCTGCCTGATAGAAACATCTTCTCTTTGAGTTAAAATGTTGGAACACCTTTGCATCACAGACTTTTGTCTTTGCCAACTTGCTTTTAAGGCAAGTCTATCATTAGGGCAATGGCAACCAGAGTGATACAGACAAATTTATTTTAAATGAGATTTATAGCTGTAATATCTGCTTGCCTGTGGTGTAATTACAATGTAGCAGCAAAGTATGTTTCCAGTAACAAAGGTTTATGAGAACCTTCAGGGGCTTCAGCCTGGGTGACAGACCTCTTGAAATTAAATGTCCCTGTACCAAATAATAAAATTAAAGAGTTACAGTTATTTCTCTAGACATAGAAAGAACTAGTTAGTAAAATTACAACAGTGAAATTACTCTTGAGTATGCATTTTATTAAAAAACATTGTAGTGGAAGAGAATTTAAATACTGGAAAGTTTTTCCTTTTTTCTAAATACATGGAGTTGGACTGCTTTTCTTTATTACTGGAATTATTAAATCAAAATTGTTACTTATTTAAGCCTCAATCCTTCAAAGATTTAGGCACCTTTTAACTTTATCCCTATGAGTAATCCCACTGACTTCATTGTGCGTGTGTAAATCTTTGCAGGATCTGGGCCTTATACTTAATGAACAAATGTTTGGTGAATCCGTAACGGTGCTGTACTGTACCCTATGGGAGCCCAGAAGTCTAAATCCAGCTTTTATTCAAAGGCTGTGACTGTGGATCTGGCATACTTAGCCTCTGTGGAAAGGAGTATGGAAGGAAGTGGCCAGATACCACCTGGAGAAAGTGAAATCGTACTCCACGCAACTGTCCAGTTCCAGTTCTTTTACTCAGGGCTTTTCTATATTCACTTAGAAATACAGACTGTAAACAGTCATAATCACCCAGCAGAATTCCGTTCTAACCCTTGTCCCCAGGTCTTCACAACCTCTCTCCACTCCCTTCCCATCTGATCCTTGCTTCCTGCACCTATTTTCCTCTCAAGTCTTTTGTCCAAGAGGCACGCGGGGCCCTGACCCTGGATCTATCTTGTTTGCTTCCGCACCTAAGAGGCAGAAAGGTTTATGTGGTTTGCTGTAAGCCAAATGATTAAGAGCAAGCATGTGACCTGCAATTACAGTGCCCAGTTTAAAGGACCATAACTGGGACATACACATCTGCCCCAAAGCTTAGTGCCCCATACATAGTGCTTCACGATACTAGTTGCAAAACTTATGACCAATGAAGTGATAGTGATGGAGACTGAAGGTAGTCCCATCCAGCTTTTTGTCACTAAAACGATGCTGGTTGCCTCCTAAGCACACAAGATAGTGCAGTGGTTTTAAAACTGTGAGTTGTGACCCAGTACTGGGTCGCGGAACGTAAGGCACTGGGTCGCGGTGGCTCTGGTCAGCACCATCGACCAGGCCGTTAAAAGTTCCGTCGACGGTGCTGCCCGGCTCAGGCAGGCTAGTCCCTACCTGTTCTGACACCGCACTGCGCCCCGGAAGCAGCCAGCAGCAGGTCCGGCTCCTAGGCGGGAGGGCTACTGGGCTCCGTGTGCTGCCCCCGCCCTGAGCACTGGCTTCACACTCCCATTGGCCAGGAAACGGCCAATAGGAGCTGGGTGGGGCAGTGTCTGCAGGCAAGAGTATTAAAATATTTACTACAATTTAGGGCTGTTGATTAATCGCAGTTAACTCACACAATTAACTCAAAAAAAGTAATCACGATTAAAAAAATGAATCACGATTAATCGCAGTTTTAATCGCACGGTTAAACAATAGAATACCAATTGAAATTTATTAAATATTTTGGATATTTTTCTACATTTTCATATATATTGTATTCTTTGTTGTAATTGAAATCAAAGTGTATATTATTTTATATTACAAATATTTGTACTGCAAAAATTATAAACTAAAGAAATAGTATTTTTCAGCTCACCTCATACAAATACTGTAGTGCAATCTCTTTATCATGAAAGTGCAACTTACAAATGTAGATTTCTTTTTGTTACATAACTGCACTCAAAAAAACAAAACAATGTAAAACTTCAGAGCCTACAAGTCCACTCAGTCCTACTTCTTGATCAGCCAATCGCTAAGACAAACAAGTTTGTTTACATTTACAGGAGATAACGCTGCCCTCTTCTTATTTACAATGTCACCAGAAAGTGAGAACAAGCATTTGCATGGCACTTTTGTAGCCGGCATTGGAAGGTATTTACATGCCAGATATGCTAAACATTTGTATGCCCCTTCATGCTTCAGCCACCATTCCAGAGGACATGCTTCCATGCTGATGAAGCTCATAAAAAAAATGCATTAATTAAATTTATGATCAAACTCCTTGGGGGAGAATTGTATGTCCCCTACTCTGTTTTACCCGCTTTCTGACATATATTTCATGTTATAGCAGTCTTGGATGATGACCCAGCACATGTGGTTCATTTTAAGAACACTGTCACTGATCTGACAAAATGCAAAGAAGGTACCAATGTGAGATTTCTATAGCTAGCTACAACACTCTACCCAAGATTTAAGAATCTGAAGTGCCTTCCAAAATTTGAGAGGGACGAGGTGTGGAGCATGCTTTAAGAAGTCTTAAAAAAGCAATACTCCAATGCGGAAACTACAGAACCCGAACCACCAAAAAAGAAAATCAACCTTCTGCTGGTGCCGTCTGACTCAGATAATGAAAATGAACATATGTGGGTCCGCACTGCTTTGGATTGTTATCGAGCAGAACCCATCATCAGCATGGACGCATGTCCTCTGGAATGGTGGTTGAAGCATCAAGGAACATATGAATCTTTAGCGCATCTGGCATGTAAATATCTTGGGACGCTGGCTACAACAGTACCATGAGAACACTTGTTCTCACTTTCAGGTGACATTGTAAACCAGAAGCAGGCAGCATTATCTCCTGCAAATGTAAACAAATTTGTTTGTCTATGTGATTGGCTGAACAAGAAGTAGAACTGAGAGGACTTGCAGGCTCTAAAATTTTACATTGTTTAATATTTGAATGCAGGGTTTTTTTTAACATAATTCTACATTTTTAAGTTCAACTTTCATGATACAGAGATTGCACTACAGTACTTGTATTAGATGAATTGAAAAATACTATTTCTTTCTTTTTTTTACAGTGCAAATACTTGTAATAAAAAATAAATATAAAGTGAGCACTGTACACTTTGTATTCTGTGTTGTAATTGAAATCAATATATTTGAAAATGTAGAAAACATCCAAAAATATTTAAATAAATGGTATTCTATTATTAACAGTGCGATTAATCGCACGATTAATCACAATTATTTTTTTTAATCACACGACTAATTGTAATTAATTTTTTTTAATTGCTTTACAGCCCTACTACAATTAAATTTCTATTGGTTCAAGCAGGGTTTACCCATGACCAACTACTGCAATGTTAAACGCAGCTTGTCCCTGTCTGTAGTGGCTACAAAATTGTGTTTAACATCAAACATGACTCCTCTAGGTGTGCTCTGACACTACTCAATTTTCTAGTAATGGTAATCATTAGGACACCTACATAATATGCACATAGTGTTATCACTTAGAATTATTTTATAAAATACAATCCTCTTCTTCCTTCATAATCTATATAGTCTATTATTTTAAATATGTAAATAAATGTGGCTAAAACTGTTTTCCACTCCTCTTCAAACAGACTCTGCATATAATAATCAAAGTTATGAAAGTGATGATCGAAGTAAACTTGCTTGGTCTCACTCTCAGTTTCCAAAACAAGTCTTCTCAGGAATTGTATGGAATTTTAGGAATGAAATATCCATCTAAAAAAACTGTAGTCATGCACTTCCTGCTCATTGTAGCCCTCAAGTCAAACATTTCCTGGTTTGTTTCTGATTGAACCGCTTCCTTCCTAATGTCATTTCATTGCAATAATGTCCCACAGAAATAATACTATTAATGAGAGATTCTAATATGAATTAAAGAAAGTTATACTGTTACGCCGACACAAATTTCCATTTAGAAGATTTGGTTTTTAAAAGCGTTACTCATTGAAATGGCACTTGCAGAAGGTGTCACTGAAAAATATAACATTCCTAGCACTTCAGACTGACTTTATACTTCATGATGTAGTTGAAAACAATGTGAGGTTTTGTTTCCCCCCAGCCACCCACCTCTACCCCAGAAATGCTGGACAGCTTTGTGTTGTAAACCTACAACATTGTTTGTAGTTAAATTTCCGCTTGGAAATTAACTCAGTTGATTTTAATTAGTTTCAATGTTAATTGTAGTTAAAGTGCTTAAGGCATAGTAAACGAGAGAATAATGGTATGACGTGATCGATCACCATTTGTCAATTAAGAAGTGACTATGCTACCTACAACTATGCTACCAATGAAACTTCTTAAAGGTGGACTTCCACACCAACTCTAAATTCACTGACAGATCAATGTGTATGAATTTGGATGAAGTATTGTATACTTAAGTTTTTGCTTGATGATATACAATAGTTTTTTGTTACTGTTATCAGTTTTCACACTTGCTTTTTCAAGGAGAAGTGTCAATAATATGCTCAGTCAAGTCAGAAAAAAGGCCACAGAAATTAGGACACTTATAAATTTGGACTCTGTAAACCATATAGTGTCTTCTAATTAGAATAGAAAATATTCCGTGATTGTACAGATTTCTTAATACTCATGGTGGCCACCAGATAAGCAAAAAGTTTATTTGTGTGCTCCACAAGGAGATTTTGTGTGAGGTTTTGCTGTTTATAGCTGATCTTTCCCAAATAATGGAAGAAATCTGATACATTTATCGATGTGTTGATTGATCAGATTGGTATTTCAAAGCTGATACTTTAACTCGAAAATGTTTAATCAGCACAGTCAGTTTTTTAAAAAGTCATTTCAATATTTAATTTCAGAATGTCTCAGAGATTTCAAAGGATACATCTTCAGATGCCTGACTGCTTTACCTTGCCTTGTCTATTTGCTCTTATTTTGCATGCAGGATAGAACCAGAAGCCTTTCTTTCTCATTGTGTACACATAGTGTTAATGGATTTGCTTTGCCTGTATTGCCTCATTACTGGAAACAGCTCAAAACACAGAAGTCTTTCAGTGTATGCAAATAAGGTAGAATCATCTACCTGAGAGTTAATATTCTCTGCTTTTAAGTGTATTCTAAATCTAATGTTTGTATTTAGAGCATAACATCCTGTTCTCTGTTTTTTATGGGCAAAAAGCTAAGCAGGCTCAGGCAGCTGTTTGATGTTGGCTTCAAGTGTTATTAATTTCATATTCTATTATTCTTTTCACTGTAGCACAAGTGAAGCTGATGTGGAGGCTGTCATGGATAAGTTGTTTGATGAGCTGGCTCAGAAACAAAATGATTGTACGTAAGTTAATTTCTCTTGAAAGAGAATACATTTAGAACACAATGCCCAATCTCCACTGACCAATTAATAAGTTCCATTGCTGTATATGGGTTGATGCCACACTCAAGTGGCAGTCATTGTATCAGCATTTTGTCTAATTTATGTGTTGAATCATGTGCTATTATTCATCAAGCTATGCATTTCCTATCTGTAAGAGATGAATTTTATAGTAATTATCCAGACAAGATTGAGTCTTTGTTCATGTTCCCATAGTAACTAGACCAAGGATTCTAAAAGTGCAAGGCAGAGAGCTGAAGCTGAATAAAGCTTGTGGAACCATTGCAGACTTCACGTTTGAAGAGCTATGTGACAGAGTGAGTACCCAGTCAAATCTAGATCAGTTTAACACTGAGTCTTTTCACAGTTGTTGGGTTTTTTTTTAAAGTTGGTATTTTCCCAACCCCAGATAGCCCAAAGACGGTTTTGAAAACTTACCCAAAAAAAAAAAGTGAATTCAAAAGAAAAAAAAAGGTGAACTCCTATGAAGAGCAGTAAATGTTTCCTTATGGATAATGGTGCAATAATAATCTCTTGAAGGCAATCTAGAATATAATTAAAAATCTAAATAGAATTATGTGGCTGGGATAATTAGTTTTATTGGTTGAATATTAAAACTCAAAATACATCCACATGTAAACAAAATTATAATGTTGTTTTTCAAATTTGGGGTAAACTTGATGCTCATTCAAGTGAGGGTTTGATGGCACGTCAAAGAATGAGACAGGTGCTGTGCAAGCTTCTCCACACAACTATCATTGCACATCTCTGTCATTGCCTGCTATTCAGTTCTGCACCTCTTCTGAGCAAAGATTGCCCGTGATGATGAATAGTGTCAAGTTTTCTGCTAGTTATGTGATGTAGTCCTAAGTTAAATATGTTCTATGAAGCCCTTGTTTAGACATGACCTAACACAGGTTTGACAATAGGTGTCCAGAGGTAAAAGTCTAGTGCAGTGATAATTTGTCAGCTGGCCTCTAAAATTATAACATTAGCCAGTTACATAACTGTGGTAGCACTGCCTATTATTAGTGATACCAAACACTTGTTGTTATAAGACCCTGTTTTCAGGTGTTTATAACTATGGCAAACTTTAACCATTTGGGCTGGAATTTCCCATGCTGGGTGTTTGCTTCAAGCTGAACGAGAACATTTCAGACAAAATGGTTCAGTCATTTCTGAGAACGAGGGCAGGGAAAAATGGGTTGTTTTGCCCATATTAAAAATGGAGACCTTTTCTGTTAAATGCTGTTGTGCCCCCAGGCTGTGGAGCAGGAACTTGAAATTTGGCAGAGGGTTGTCTTTATGTCAGGGATGTACTTTTTGCCAACCCTGTGAAAATCCACCTGAATTTGGCAAAGTTATAAGTCTTTGAAAAATCACAGTTCACACATGCTCAGTAGAGACTTGCTAGAGCTTAACAACTAAAATCTCTGAACTTCCTTACTGAGCATGCTCCATCCCCTCATAGTGCTGACTAGACTGTACGTGAGCCATCCCCACAGAGCAACTGAGCACACTCCTGCCCAGAGAGGCCCAGGAGCTCAGAAGGACCTTCCCTGTAAGGGTTGCTCCCAGCTGCTCCAGGCCTGAGTGGGATCAGGCATTGGAAGTGAGAGCAGGGAACCTGTCCCTCCTGGGCTCTCGATCGCTCCCCTGCTGGCACCTAGGCAGCCGGGTGGAGGAAGCCATCTGATTTGAATACACGAGGAAAAAGCCAGACCAGCGTGAGAGGGAAAGGAGTAGATTGGGACAAGGAGTCTGGGCTTGAAGAAGAGGAGAGAAACTGTGACTGGGAGTTGGAATTGGGAAGGCTGGAACTGGCTGGACAAGAAGGCTCAGACCCAGGGGAAGGGAGGCAGGGACTAGAAGCCAGTGAGGGAAATGAGAGGAGGAGAGACTGGGAGAAGTTGGCTGGGGTGCAGAACACAAAGATTGGACAAGGAACTGGGGGAGGAGCAACAAGGAGACTGAGATTGGCTGGGCAAGGAGACTGGAACTAGGCAGTGGGGGAGGAGAGACAGATTTGGCAAGTAGCTGGGGTGTGATGGGAAAACCGGGACTGGCTGGACAAGAAAATTGGGACAAGGAGCAAGACAGATCAGATGAGGAATGGGATGGAGTTGGGAACTGGTTGGGAAGAGGGAGGGACTTGGAGTTGGGGAAAGAAATTGGGACTCAGACAGTGAGCGCGAAGGAGGAGATTTGAATGGCTGGGCAAGGAATTGCAGAATACAGAATTGGATATCCCACAAGCATCCTTGTTCAGAGACGGAAGCTGTCTCCCTTCCCCCAATCACCATATGACAACCTGGGTCTTAATGAGCCTGCTTCTAAACTATTTTTAAGTCCTAAATGGGGCTGACTGGAAAAAGAAATTTAAAGGGATTGTGGCTCTTTCTGGGTGACTGCTCCATACAGGAACTGAACCAGGAAAAACAAAGGGACCGGGTATCCAAAACCAAACCCTCTCACATGAAAAAAAAAGGCTAAGGAGGAGCTGGGAAGCAGGGAGGGTGGCAACCCATGAACTCTTCTAATACTATGGGTAGGAGAGGTCCCCCAAGGCAGTGATGATAGTTGTTAGAGAACCATCGTTACAAATAAAAATGGGTGATGTGTTATGTAACCGTCTGCTATTGGGCTAGAGGAGGTGCAGAAGAATTTCTGGAAGTCTTGTGCTTTACTCAAAAGACTTTCACACATTGGCCTGATGCTTTCGGCCCTCCCAACCAAGGGAGAAATAACGCCTGGCCTAGACTTACATAACTCCTCACTTACACTGTGCAGTCTTTCCCAGTGTGAAACATTTTGGGGGCTGAAGGAAAAAGACTTGTGCAACAAATTGACCTTCAGCCTAAAAAGATTGGCCTGCCCAGAGCCAGCATTCATGGTCTTCTGGGATTTCTACATTCCAGAAGTTGTAGATAGATGTGACATGTTCTCAGGGTACCTAGGACTGAGAGTCATCTTGTTATCTCCCTGCCTGTGGTGAGAGGAAGATTTGCATGTGCTTAACTGGATGTCAGCTCCCTGACCCCACCAGCCCACTAACCAACCAAACAATCTCCTCAGGGTCCTGCCAGCCCTTACTTTGCCTTGCAGGTTAGCAACAGGTGCACCCCAGCCCCTGGTCCCCTCTGAAAGCATTCCCTTCTAGTATGCAGCCCCTGTCACTCAATACCCACAGGAATTACCAGGTTTCTTGTCCCCAATGGAACAGTTTACATATAACTTGACTGGTACAACTCCGGATCAAGTCCTTTATAACATCACAGCACTGAGATATAGTTATAGTGAAAACAATCACAAGGTTATTATCAAAGGCTAAGATTTAAGAGATAGTGAACAAGGATAATGGAAAGAGAAATGGTTCCATATAAAGCAAAAGTAAAACACACTTCTTTGAAACTAAACTTAGCTTAGCAGTCTAACCTTTCGTCTAAATAAGTTTATTGCACCCTTAAGCTTTTTTCAGTGCATTCAACCAAATCTTTATTGAGATCCTGTTTTCATGAGTGCAAACACACTGTCCATTTAATTCCTCAGTTCGGGATAACAAAATGTCCTGGCTTCTCCTTACATTACCCAGAACTCATTGTTTTTTCCCCAGAGTCAGGATGAGTCCTGTGGTTCCTTTCTTGGTGTGCTAGCTCCAAGTTGTTTTCACATACTGGTGTTGACTCCACATGCAAAACAGACTTCCATCGTGGTGGTTTACGATGCTTAATCTACATGTGAACGTAGGCAACAGGTAAATGTACATCCCTTTGTCTGGCAAAACCTGTTTGTCAACCATGCCTGGGACACAGACTCTGAAACATATTTTCAGTACATATACACAGCTCCTTAAATATCCTTACAATCATCTTGCAGTGATTGAGGATCTACATGACATACAGTTGTAATAGACACCTCACATGGCCTTTTTATTACACACCTCACATGACCTAAATACTATGGAAGCAGTGTGTTAGGTGTAGTCAGTTTGTCAAGCTGATAGGAGTTGCTGTTATAGAACATTGAACCCTTTACCAGCTGGTACCAATGGGTCCTTATGTCACAATATACTGTGCTGGACCCAACCCTGTTTCTTCTCTAATTTTGTAGTATGAAATAATTATATTTTAAAAAATCAAATTGCCCTCTTGATATTTTTATATAACCAAACTTCTCTATCTTTCTTCTGTGTCAAAATGACACAGCTTACTCAAATATATGAAAAGTAACATGTCAGCATACTACTGTTTAATTATTCAGGTTGTTTGTATTATGACATGAATTATTGTTAGTCTCTAAGGTGCCACAAGTCCTCCTGTTCTTCTTTTTATGAATTATTGGATGAAACATAGTAATAAGATTTGCAAAACCTGCCAGCTGTGGTTTGATCCATCTCAGCAAACCAAAACATTAGGTTTCAGAGACGGTAATTCACTCCTATCTGACAAAACCAGAATCAAAATGTGAAGCCAGGCAACTTTACCTTAAATCCATTGGTTTCAATCCCAGAAGGGTCTGTTATGATCATCTAAGCTGGCCTCCTGTATTACAGAACCCATACATTTCACTCAGAACTCCTGAATCTAGTCCAACAATTTGTGGTTGAAGTAGAGTGACTGTCAAGTATCAGGGGGTAGCCGTGTTAGTCTGTATCTACAAAAACAACAAGGAGGCTGGTGGCACCTTAAAGGCTTTAAGGTGCCACCAGACTCCTTGTTGTTTTTGTTAGAGTGACTGTGTAGCTCAAAAGCTTGTCTCTCACCAACAGAAGTTGGTCCAATAAAAGATACTACCTCACCCACTTTTTCTTTTTAGAAAGTCAGCCAATTCTGATTTAAAAACTCCAAGTGATGGAGAATTTTACTACATCCTTTGGAAATCTGTGCCAGTGGTGGTTTATCCTGTTAAAATTTTGTGCCTTGTTTCTAATTTGAACTTTGCTGACTTCAGCTCCAGCCACTGGCTTTTGTTACACATCCATCTGCTAGATTAAAGAGTCCTCTAGTGTGCTGATGCCTAAAGACTGATCAAACCACCTCTTGACCTTCTCTTCAATAAGCTAGTTAGATTGATCTCCTTTAGTCTCTTATTGTAAGGCAAGTTTTCCGGACCTCAAATCTTGACAATTTTCAACGTGTTTTACATACCTCCAGAAAGACATAAACTGTGTGAAATAAAAAACTTATTTTCTTTTGAGATGAGAATCTGAGCAACATACCAAACAGCTTTCTTACTCCTAGAGCAATGAAGTAGGGATTACATGAAAATACATCTAATAAGAAATACATTTAAATAAAATAATATCTTTGAACTCTGTTATTTATTAAAGAGCCATGGTAGCAAACTCCATACACTTTTTTTTTTTACATACACTCTCCTGACTAACAAAACACAAAAATAATGTTCAGTTTCCTGAGAGAGGATAATATTCTGAGGAGGTATGTGATTAATTGCACAAAGTGCTTCAGACATAGGAATTAAAAAGAGAGGGGTTTTAATTTTCAGAAAAGGTCTAACATTTTTAATGTCATATCTCAAAAACTATTTGGTTTATAAACTCCAGATTTTTTTTATTTACTGATCCCCAATCAAGGCTAGTGCCTTTGAGTTTTCTGTGGAAAGTTTGATGGTTGATTTTTGAGTTAACCAAGGCTCCATTGAGTTTTTTGTGGTTCCCCATGTACTGTAGGACCTCCATTATTGGGGGCTGAGTTGGGAAAGAGCAGGATGAGTTATGCAGCCTAGAAAACCATAGGGTAGTGGATAGGGAAACCCTGAGTTTATGCCAAAGGTACTGGCCTCCTGCCCATCTCCCTAAGATCCATGTGGATCTCAGGGGGGCCTAAAAATTCTGGTGTGGAAACTCTTTTTTGTTTCACCAAGGTTCAAACTTCTGTCTTCCCATAGAGTGATTTAGGGGAAATGCCACCAGGTCTCTTCCGTAGGCCTTTCTTCTGTGATTTTTTTTTTTACAGCGGATGGACAAAAGCAGGCCTAGTGGTAGACATTTGTTTAATAAAAGCAAAAGTGAATTTAGGAAACTTTCCATATAAAAATGATCTTATAGTCATAAGTCCCTGTGTAGTAATTTAAAACAACAGTAACAAGGAACAGAGGGGTAGCCGTGTTAGTCTGAATCTGTAAAAAGCAACAGAGTGTACTGTGGCACCTTTAAGACTAACAGAAGTATTGGGAGCATAAGCTTTCGTGG